TGTGTGTACGTGCCCAAGATCCCGAGAGGAGAATGGAGGAGAAGGGATTGCGGCGTGACCATCCCCCCTGGGGGATGATTTCTCGTTTTCTGTCTCTATGTCTCTGTCTGTCTGGTGAGCGCACGTGCCCTATAACGAAAACCTCTCCAAAAAAAAAAAAAAAAAATCACACCAGTCGCTTATGTGTACATGCCCCAAATCCTGAGAAGATAATGGAAGAGAAGGGATTGTGGTGTGGCCATTCCCTCAGAAAGCGATTTCTCACTTTCCCTCTTTATCTTTCTCTGTGGCATGTTCACACACCCTATGGCCCAAACTCCTCCCCTCCCCCCGCAAACAAATAAACAAACAAACAAACAAAACAACACGAGACCATGTTCAGCTTGCAGTCCCAGATCTCGGCAGCAGGTGTGGTGCTTGTTTGGTCTAATGGAGTTACTCACGTCTGTTTCAGATGGAGCACCTGAAAGCCTGTGCAGAGATTGCTGCCCAGCGGACCGTCAACTGGCAGAAGTTCTGCATCAAAGACGACTGTAAGTAGGGCTGCTCCGGTTGGTTTTTATTATTGGCAGTTATTCAGCCCCTCAGCAACTGTTACTGGGGCCTCATGTGTGCTGGAGAGAGAGCCCCGAGCCAGATACGTAGCCAGAACTATACCTAGCGAAGAAAACAAGTATAAACGTCAAAGGGAGGGGCCGGCAGGAGGCCTGGTGGTGGAGGCACTGAGCTCCTACATGGCTAACTGTGGTTTGACTCCTGGGCCTGGTGGCTTTTTTCCTCACTTTCCCCACTTTCCCTCTCTCTTTCTGTCTCTCTCTGGTGAGTGCATGTGTCCTTTGACAAATTTAAAAAGGAAAAAAAAGAAAGAATAATAAATAAAATTAGATAAATAATTTTTGGGGGGAGAAACTTCGAAGGGCAGTGAGGGCTAAGAGTCAAAGTGTGGGGTGCTAGGGGAACATCAAGTAGGCATATCTGACCTCCAGGTTGGGGCCGTAGGCTAAAGAGAAGCAGGTGGCATCTAGACAGTCCCTTATCAGGGAGTAGGGCCTGAATCCAGTCTGTATTTAGCAGTCATAATGCTTCTCAGATATTTCCATCTGGGGTATAATCTCTTAGCCCTGCCCAGCGAGAGAACTTGGGAAAGAAAGTGGGTGGGAATAGGGTTGGCTCTGGTGTGTGCTGCATCTTCAGTAGTCGTAGTCACCCGAGAACTGAGCTGCCGCGTCCTCTGTCTGCAGCTGTCCTGTACTTCCTGCTCCAAGTCAGTTTCCTCGTGGATGAAGGGGTGTCCCCAGTGCTGCTGCAGCTGCTCTCCTGTGCACTGTGTGGCAGCAAAGTGCTCGCTGCTCTGGCGGCCTCTGTAGGGTCCTCTTCCAGTGCTGCTTCCTCCTCAGCCCCTGTGGCTGCCAGTTCGGGACAAGCCACAGCACAGTCCAAGTCTTCTACTAAAAAGAGCAAGAAAGAAGAAAAGGAAAAGGAAAAAGATGGTAAGAGACAGCCTTCTGTCTTGGTGACCAGGGTGAGGGGCATGGAGCACAGTGGTTCATTTTGCTTTCTAAAAGGGCTTTTCTGATTTACAGACGACCTAAGACTGAACTGCTCTCTAGAATCTACCTCTGGTCTTTTTAAAGGTATATTGAAGGCGATCCCTTAAGCAGTGCCACTTCACATACCAGTGACAGTAATAGGAATGGTCAAAGTGCACTGAACGTTTTTAGTGGGCCAGGTTCTTTTTCTGTGAAACACCCATATGGAGCAGTGGTCAGAGTTAAGTGAAAAGTCGCTTAGTAAACTCGTTCCGTCATCTGTGAACGGAAGCTCTCGTTGGTGTTGCCTTACCATCAGCTTCAGTGCTTTTCTTGGTCCTTCAAGACCTAAGGCAGATGATGAGGGGTTGAGAGCAGTGAAGGTAATTCATATTTCCCCAGTTAATCGCCAGGTCTGCGGTAGCTAGCAGTGACTATTGTAGGTGGCAGATTTGGAGAGAGAATTCGCCCTCCAGTGTAACTCTATGTGTTCTGTGTCAGGCTCATATAAGCATTTTATCCTAGGCTTTTTTGTGTGGCATTACTATATGTCTCATTTGGGACTGGCACATTTGTCTCCTGGTAAACAACTACACTTTGTTTTGTAAATTGTAACGTTTAGTAGAAACCATTTCCTCCTCTTCCACCTGGCAGCCCAGTTTTGGGACCCTAGATGTCTTTTACTTTGCCCTCAGTCCTGCCTTGACCTTGCAGGCGAGAGCTCAGGCAGCCAGGAGGACCAGCTCTGCACAGCTCTGGTGAACCAGCTGAACAAGTTTGCTGATAAGGAGACCCTGATCCAGTTTCTGCGCTGCTTCCTGTTAGAGTCCAATTCTTCCTCGGTGCGCTGGCAGGCCCACTGCCTGACGCTGCACATCTACAGGTGGGGCCGGCACTTGGGGGACAAAGCTGCGTGGGGCCAGGGCCAGGGTGCACTGCATAGTTCTGTTTTGGTTTTCTGTTACATACCCTCAGTCAACATATTTCACACTAGCCTGAGTCCTCTTGAGCATTAGATTTCTTTATTGTGCCACCTGCTTTTTAGCTATTGACGTCATAGGCAGCAGGCTATTTTCCACTCAGTTACGTTTAGGAGTTTGTAAAAATGACCAGACCTGCCTGGCTCAAGAGGCTGCTTCTGCTCTGGAGCGATGTTGGATGATGGGAATAAACTACCTCCTGAAGAGAGTAAATGATATGTTGCATTATTAGGATTCATTGTCTAAAGAGCAACAGGACCATTCAGACTTAACCCATAGGTGTAGGGA